TGAGCTTAAAATGGTGTTCATGGGGTAGGAGTATTAAAAACGAACCATTTGATTGGAGCACAAAAAAAACCATGAAATTAATACCAAGAGACCTCTGTATCACTATACACAGCACCTAAAACTTTAAAAGAACTGCTTTAAAAAGCTTAAGTGAGCCGGGCGGTGGTGGCGCATGCCTTTAATCCCAGCACTCGGGAGGCAGAGCCAGGTGGATCTCTGTGAGTTTGAGGCCAGCATGGGCGCAAAGCTACACAGAGAAACCCTGTCTCGAAAAACCAAAAAAAAAAAAAAAAAAGCTTAAGTGACTTAAAGTGCTAACAATTTTAAAGCTTCACAAAATGATGGCCCCAGTATGACTCACTAGGGGAACCGATGGGCCCAAACTCCAGGCTCTCCTCTGCTCTGTCAGGAGCCACTAATGGCAGCAGCAGCCTGGTGTCCAGAATAGAAAGGAGTCGTCATTCAAAAGACTGAAGCACTGGGGGATGAGGACGGCAACCCAGCATCCCCGCCTGACTCAGGGCACCCCCCAACCTCCAGCTCAGAAACAGAAGGCTACCTACTGTAGCCCCCAATGACCGAGGCCTACCTGTGGAGCTGAGCTGTGGGGTGCCAAGGCCAGCCCTATGCTGACATCGTCCTGTTCCAACTGACCACCATGTTCAGCCTGTGCGTCCGCACAAGGGTATGAGCAGCCGACAGATGCTACCTGAGCCTGCTGCTGGTCCAACTCCACCTGGCACCTCAGGAAACGCCGGTGCAGCACTTGTAGCTGGTGGCTGAGGCCAGCACACTGCCTTCGCAGCTGCTGTAGCTCAGGAGGCTCATCTGGGGTGGCAAAGGTCTGCTGTTCCAGAGCATGACAGAACTGTGTCAAAGCCAAAAGGATGTTCTCCAGCTCAAGGGAATGGCTGACTTTCCACTTGTTCATGGTGTCGATTTCTAAATCTCTCTGCACAATGATTGCTTCCTTTGCCTTCAGGGTAGCTTCAAACTCTTGGATCCGAGAGGCCATGTCTTCAAGCTCAGCCTCTCTGAGGGCCACACAGCGTTCCAGTTCAGCCAGGCGTATTGCAGCAGCCTCCTCTGCATCTTGTAGACGCTGTTGCAGCGCCTCCAGGGCTTGGCTGTGTCCATGGGCCTGGTCTGCCAGAAGCTGGCCAAAGACCTCCTTGGCTGCCTGTGCAGCTTCCAGCTCGTTTCGTAGTGCCTGTCCACGCTGGCCTTCTGCATGGAGGCAGGACAGCTCATTGTGGAGATTGCTAGCCTGGTGATCACTGAGTTCGTGTACCTTTGGCCCCATGAGGGTCAGCTCACTCTGCAGCTTCTCAATGACTTCATGGAGCTGCTCAATTTCTTCCGCTTTATCCTTCTGCAATTGTTCTTGATTTTCCTGCAAATTTTCGATGATGGCTTTCAGCTCTTCAATCTCAGAGTTTCTCCTGTGCACACCCTAAAGAAGAAGCACATGTCATAGGTAGAAGCACAGAGACAGGAGTAAACCAGCACCAGCCTCAGGTAGCTTTGCAGTCTGAACACACTACACCACTCTGCAGGTACAGAGAAAGGATGCCCACCAACCTCAGCAAAGCTCAACAGGTTCCCTACCTTAACGCTCTGGGTTTGAACTCAGAAACTCTAACTCTGGTTTCTCTTCAGCTAAGGGAAGCTTTTTACACTTCTGTGCCTACTTCTGAGACTGACACACCTCCTACTACACTCACGTGACACCTTACCCACCCTGTTAAGCGTGAACTCACTTGTAGGCGTTTCCTGAAACTGCATTTAGACTCTGGGTGTCTTGCTAACAACCGAGGTGAGAACACAGGCCAGAGGTTTTGCAGTGATGAGCTGAATGAAGCACACCCCTCCCTCCCCGGCCCGAGTGAGCACTGCGTACACGGCAGCCGGCTCTAACGCTGCTGACTGTATGGCATGAAAGAGAGCACTCCCACGGTGCTGGTCAACTTATCCCCAATAACTTTAAAAGAACTTAGATATGAAACAGCTTCTTAAACCCTCAAAAACAGTGAATGGCTCAACTCTATTCTCTGAAGATACCATAACATGCAATGACCAAAACCACAAAAATCCTAACCAATTTGTGTTCTAACAATTTTCAAACAACGTCTCATATTTT